ACCTTAGGGCCGATTAAGTCTTCGGATTCGGAGTGCCCTTTGTGGATAGCACGATTGGCCAAAATAAAGTCTCCGGATTCGGAGCCCTTTTTGGTGCATGACACCTTAGGGCCGATTAAGTCTCTCGATTCGGAGCACCCTTCGTGGATATCCCGATTGGCCAAAATAAAGTCTCCGGATTCGGAGCCCTTTTTGGTGCATGACACCTTAGGGTCGATTAAGTCTCCGGATTCGGACCGCCCTTCGTGGATATCGCGATTGGCCAAAATAAATTCTCCGGATTCGGAGCCCCTTTTAGTGCATGACACCTTAGGGTCGATTAAGTCTCCGGATTCGGAGCGCCCTTCGTGGATATCACAATTGGTCAACATAAAGTCTCCGGATTCGGAGCCCCCCCCCTTTTTGTGCATGACACCTTAGGGCCGATTAAGACTCTAGATTCGGAGCGCCCTTCGTGGATATCATGATTGGCCGAAATAAAGTCTCCGGATTCGGAGCCCCTTTTGGCGAATGACATCTTATGGCCGATTAAGCCTCTTAAGGCCGATTAAGAATCCGAATTCGGAGCCTTTGTGAGAGATGCATTCAGACCACTTCACTGGCCGAAGAAATATTCACTGAGAATTGTTCTTAATTCGAGCCGGTCAATGCATGTTTAAACATTTGCACCACGCAACACAAAACTTGCTAGTAAGTTAAAATAATACGTTTAATTAAGCACATAACATTTCAAGACCAAATACGAACGTTGAAAATAAAAGAAATTCTATTTGTTCGGTGCAAAGTCTGTTCTTGCGTTCCAAAGACTATTTATTCGGCATCCTCATCGTCGCTCTTCTCAATTTCGAAATCGGAATAGGGTAAGTAGTGACGATGATATAGGGGCGAAGCCGAATCAATGCCCATGGCTTCGAGAGCTGTCTCAGTATGAAGGGCCTTGATCCATCCGTGCTTGAATCCACAATTTTCACATCGGCAGACCTCCTCAGCAATGTCTCGTTTGGTCTTCTCTATCCCGACCTTCAGGCCGTCCTAAAACCCCTTTTCATAACCCGAGGTCCGTTGGGTCACTCTCTCCTTAACGACCAATTTAGATTGACCGACCGCCACCGACACGCTCGTTTGAACATTCTTCAGCTCCTGAAGCTTACGCTCAGCCTTTTTCGCGTGAATCTCTAGACTGCGATTCCTTTCATCCTTTTTCTCACTCTCACGTCACGCTTCCCGCTGACGCATGCCGACTTCGTAAGCAGTATATAGTCCTTTCACGGCCCCATGTATGCCGTCTCGAAATACTTCGAAATCTTGACGTCCGACCATCGATTGTTGGACTTCCGGTGGGAAGATCTGTCGAGCGAACTCGACTGCCACACCCGGGTCTTTAATGATAGAATCCGCCTCCGTCATTGGTCTATTCCTCACAAAAACCGCAAAACTCAACGGTCATGGCGTCGCATCGGGCTCGATTCTTAGTCGCGGGTGCAGAGAATTTCCCGTTGTTGCCTGTCCTTTCGGGGCGATTTGCTTCGATGACTAAGGGACTGCTTTGTTTCCCGATCCTTGGACGTCCTTCTTCCCGTACGCATAGGCTCACTACTACGACTCATTGCGGCGTCTAATTCAGCCAATCTTTGTCCCTCTCAAGTTGCTTGAATGGAAATAAGTAGGGCCTCTGGCGTGCACCCGCCTCATTTATCCTTCAATGTATGCAACTCTCCCGAGGCAACGTCAGTAATCCCAAACGTCAAAAGACGGATGACAATTGTCCAACCCACAAGTTAGGCCCATTCGGCTTCCTAAGCTCGCGCCCTGGCTAAGGCAAGGGCAGATTTACTAATCTTGTCGGCCATATTTTCAAGCGCAAGCGCCGATCAGTCTGTGCCTCAGCCAGCCCACGAGTTAGGCCCATTCGGCTTCCCAAGTTCGCTCCCTGGCTAAGGCAAGGGCAGATTTACTAATCTGGTGGGCCATATTTTCAAGCGCAAGTGCCAAACAGTCTGTACCTCAGCCAGCCCACAAGTTAGGCCCATTCGGCTTCCCAAGCTCGCGCCCTGGCTAAGGCAAGGGTAGATTTACTAATCTGGTCGGCCATATTTTTAAGCGCAAGCGCCGATCAATCTGTGCCTCAGCCAGCCCATGAGTTAGGCCCATTCGGCTTCCCAAGCTCGCGCCCTGACTAAGGCAAGGGCAGATTTACTAATCTGGTCGGCCATGTTTTCAAGCGCAAGCGCCGATCAATCTGTGCCTCAGCCAGCCCACGAGTTAGGGCCATTCGGCTTCCCAAGCTCGTGCCCTGGATAAGGTAAGGGCAGATTTACTAATCTGGTTGGCTAAATACCTAAGCTAAGCAGCCGATCTAACCATAACCGAAAGCAATATCATTCATCAATAACATTTTCCTTAGCATGTTAAGCACAACTCATGAAATTTTACATACGCAAATTACTAAACAAAAAGCTACAGATTAAGCCTCTTAAGGCAAAAACTATGACTGTAGCAACACATGAAAAATACCAAATTAAAAACTATAAAAATACATTCGACATCCTAAAAACTATGTCAGTCGCCTAGATCAGTCATCGGAATCAGACTCCAATGGCTCAATATCCACTTCCTCATATGGAATTGGCATAATCAATGAAACTTCAGCAGCAGCAAAGGCTTTGTGCCAACCATGTTTGAATCCCCGATTTTCAAACTTGGGGACTTGGTCCAAATACTCGGTGAGTCCAGCATTTTTCCCGGCCTCGAATACTTTGGAAGCCTTCGAGTCGGCAGTTTCCTTCGCCACCTTCATTTTAGCCAACTCAGCCTCCAGTTTGGAGACTGCCTTCTGGGCCAATTTGAACGCATCTTCGCTCGCGTCCGCCTCCTTCTCGACTTCCGATCTCAATTGATCCGCGCTATAAGCCCTCTCCACCCTCTGCGATTGACAAAAGAGGAAAGACAATCGGGGTTTTGTCCTCCCTCTCTATATCAAGAGTGCCGTCTGCCACAAACGACAGACGGACATCATCAGGAATGGAGAAATGGCATTTAAAGCCAGCAATTCAATCTGACGAGAGAAGGTCTTTTAAATGTTTCTCCATACCCTACAGTTTATAACAATATGCCAAGGAAGGAATAAACCAGAAAGAGTCTTCGAAGTAAGGAATGAGAGAACTTACAAAGGACGAAGAGGATATCGGAGAAGAGAGTTGCAGGGACGATTCAAAAGGCAATCCAGCAATGAGTGTCATAAAATACATACTCGAAAGGACATCAAAATTTTAAATCGCAATAAATAGACACGTACGAGGGGCGTGGGAAGTCGACATGACAACCGAAAGGGGTGCGCTTAGATATCTGCATGAGGATGAGGCCAACCGCCGAATTTTGGCTCTGATTTTTTGAAACTCGGAACCAAGCACTCCAGTCAACTGTCGTTGGTAAAGTGCTTGGGGGGCAATTGTGGGAGCCGAATAAATAGAAGAGTCGGAAGGTGCGTACCCCAGAAATCAGATATTATTCGGCTCCATACTGCATGACTAGGAAGTCGAATACGTTAGGAAGGCCGAATAACCGGAGATCAGTAGCTCCAAATAAATAAAAAGGGAAATGAGATAAAAGTAGGCTCAGGCCCCAAGGCCCAAAAAGCAAGTATAAATACAAGAATCACAGATTTAGAAATGTATGTAAGAATCACTTCACTTAACTTAGTAAAGAAGCTATCTTGAGTGTCTGAACTGACTTGTCCGTCAGAGTGCTAATTCCTGCACCCCCGACCGGAGTGTCTGTATCTTTTCAGGTGATTAGCTGAGGATCACTAGCGTCTCCCAGGATCTGGAGAGTATTTCCAAACCACTTCTCCACAGTAGACACTCTTATCCTTGTAAATTTTCTATTCAATAATATTAATCCTTTTCTTTTATAAGAGTGTTTTTCTTCTGTATTAAGGATCTTAGGTCACTTATATAACTGAATATAACAACTCTTAAAGTTACATTATGAAGTAGGAAATGAAACAGATTTGTTTTAAGCTTGATCCGAGGAAGGAAAGATTGATATTAGTCATCTCTGTAAACAGGAAGCTTAATGGGTAAAATATTTTGATACAATTCTTATTTTTGAAGCATATTAAGTTTAAAATAAACATAACTTAAAAATATAGAAGTAATAGTAAAATTCTATGAGTATTTATCAATATTTTTATATTCAAGATATGTTATTAGATCGTAACAAAAGAAATTCTATGGTAGGTGTGTGTACAATACGCTCCATTTATGACTTTTGTGATTGTTGGTTATGACGTGTCATGTGTGTTAGTTATCAATTGGTTATGATTTATTATAGTATTAATTATGACTCATTATAATGTTGATTATGACTCAATTTTTAATTTTTTTTTTAGTTGATTGAAAATGATCTAGTTATGACATTTGTAGTAACACTACAACAAACTGCATCTTTGGCGACTAAAATTGGCGACCAAAACAATTTTAGTCACCAAAAACATTATATTGGGCGACTAAAAACCTAATTTATTCTGCATTAGTGAAGAATTTTTAGCTACTAAATTACTTTAGTCGCCATATTGACTTATTCGCGACTGAACTGAGTTTTAGTTGCTGTTTACAACATTTTAAGCGACCAAAATTTCGTTTCGTCGCCGTATAGTAACATTTTTGCGACCAAAAATGTTTGTTGCCAAAAAATGGGTGTATGTTGATGATTTTTTGCGACTAAAGCTAAATTAGTCGTTGTATGTTAACTATTGCCGACGAAAATTTGAAAGTAGTAGCCAAATAATATTCTTTTCACGACTAACTTTTAGCCGCTGTTAGTGATATTTGCCGACAGATTACTAGTTAGTCACCAAAGCTTCGAAATTTTTTTAGAGGGAAAGTAATTAATGTTGGCGCCCAGGATGAAATTACACAGACTCACCTTTTTTGTTATGTTTTGACTCACACACCAACATACACAGCAGTTGATACACCTAACCTCACCATCGCTCACCACCGCCGATCATCACCACCGCTGGCCACCGGCCGACGCCACCACGACCACTGCAAATCGGCCCCACCACTTACAGGTATTTGTCTCTCGTCTCGCTCCCTCTCTGTCGCGATCTGGGTCTGTGTGTTTCTATCTCTGTCTCGCCATCTCTTCCCATTTCTGTAGGGTTTGTATATACATGTTAGGGCTTTTCTGTGTGTTCTGTTTTGTCTCGCCGTCTCTTTCATTTTCTGTTCATGTCGTATTTGCATGTTAGGGCTTTTTCTGATTTCGTGAATGTGTTTGGTTGGAATTTCGGCTTATGGATTTCTGATTCCTGATTTGGATTGTTGAACTGTATGACCATTATGAATTTTGTATTGCCGCAAATGGTGAAGATGGTATACCGATTGGTTTTGAAATGGTTCTGTGAATTAATTTTAAAATTGTTACAACCTTGCTTCGTAATTCGTAGATGTAGAAGATTTACATCATAATCCGTTTGTACATGAGTCATTTGGTTTACATCTCATAGGAGGATATAAACTCGAATTAATTTGATTTGGACAAACATTGTGCATTAGAAATTGATTTTCTATTTTGTTTTTCAATGTGTTTTAATATCTATTGGTGGTATGAAATGATGATATTATATATTATTTCAATCCTTGGGTGATTTTTTTATAGATTATCACCAAGTTTATAGTTTTTTTTTTAGTTATATAGAATTTTGTTATTGTTATGTATGGTTTGATTGTTGTTTCATTAGAATTTGATTTACATGCAAATAATTTTTTGGTGGGTTCCAAACAGATTACTCAGTTTTCATGTTGGTTCACGTTTATCTTGGAAGACCCAGAATGTGTCATTGTATCTCTGAAATTTGATTACCTTATTTTAATTGTTTTATTTTTAATATTTGTTATAGAAGTATAATTCCTTTTAAATTCGTATACAATTATATACATTTGTTGTTTCCATATTGACTTATTTTAAGGTGAAGGAACTAATGGGTAAATTCGTATACAATTATATAATATATATACATTTGTTGGTACTATGTTGTTAGTGAATTTGTTTAAAGTCAATCAGTTTTCGTGTTTTTCTTTTTATATCGTTAATTTTGACTCTGTATTTAATTGAAATGGGTCTGGTTGTGATTTTTGTTGGATAATGACATTATTTTATCATTTCAATCAGTTTGTTTGTTTGATTAGATTAGAAGAGTTCATCTATTTGAATCAATGCATTTATTTGTAACAGTAGGCACTGGGTTTATCTTCTTTATAAGTTTGGTGATGTCATTTTGACGAAAAAGTTTTCATTTGCATATGATCAATATATGTTTAAACACTGTATTCAAATATAATTTAATGAGTCAATATTGTCTCATATAATTATGATCATGGTTTACAATTTTATCATTACAATCTTTTGAAAAATTATACGAAAAAGTATATTTCATGTGTAACTGACTTTCAGTTTGGTTATGGTAGTAGTATATTTTCATTGTTAAAGCGATTGTTGGCACCAAAACAATTTAGAAATGATGGTTTAAATTGTGGTGTCATTCCATTTAATTGGAAGTAACACCAACAAAAACCTATGAACTATTGGAAAGTTCAAATTTGCATTGGTATATTGACAATTTGGGAATAAAATCATTGGTATATTGACCTCTAATATATCAGTTAACAATGATTGATTTTATAAAATTAGAGGCATATTGGTTGATATGTTTGAGGGATATATTACAGGGATATTGATTAATATATTAGAGGGATATCTTACAGGTCAATATATATGAAAAAATCATTGATTTTATCATATCATTGGTATGTTGACCTCTAAATTACCAATGATTTTATCAAATTTGCACTGATTTTATTGACCTCTAAAATCATTGGAAAGTTCAGAGGTATATTGACCTCTGAAAAAATTATTGACATATTAGAGGGATATACCTCTAATCATTGAACTTTCCTATGATTTTAGAGGTATTACACTGAACTACTGAACTTTCCAATAATTTTTTCAGAACTTTCCAATAGCTTTTTGAACTTTCCCTCTAATACCTCTAATCATTGAACTTTTCAATGCTTTTGTTGCGGGTTTAGGGTTTTTCCATGTACGGCTTTTGTTGTTTTCATATGAGTGATGTAAGTATTCTCATTCTTAGTTGTATTTTCCTCTCTCATCAGGTCTCGCTCTCTACCAAACCTACACACCATCATTTTTGGGTTTGAGGAACAACTTCGAATTGGGTATGTACCAAGCACCAATCAATAACAGCTACATTCCTAATCTTCATGTGTTATAGTTTTCAGAATATTTGTTGTCATTTGATGCAAATTTTCAATGATTTTATTTGGGAATTTTTTTTCATCATTCTTTGAATTTGGAACTCTATTAATGATAGTCTTGTCAATATACCATCTTTGGTGATTTTCTTTCCCTCTTTTAAGTGTTAGTGGTGGTTGTCTTTAGTTTTTATAGAATTTCCCCAAATTACATAGTTATTTTTCAATTGTTTTATGTCTTATTCACCCAAGTTTTTTTTTTTTTTTAATTGTTCAAAAGGATTGGTGATTCTAGCATCGACCTCAGAAGTACAGCAAGGGTAATACTTTTTCCTTATTTAAATATTTAGTTTCCATTTTATTCTTTTTTTTTTGTAGGACGAATTTCCTTTTTATTCTTGTGGTTATGGTTTATCTTCTTGATTACCCACAATGATTTGTAATATATGTTGGTGTTGGTCTTACGCAGACTTTTTACTCTTTTCGTACCTTTTAAAGGTCCCGACGAGCTTCCCAAGTGGAACTATGATGGATGTAGCATATGCCAAGCTCATGGAGAAAAGTGTTAATTGATCATATTGTATGTCATCTTGTTTTCACTTTTTTCCCTTATTATATTCATTGCTCTTTTCTAGTATTATTTTCCATGTTTTGGCAGATTTAAATTTAAATGAAATTGTGCTTGCTTTTGTAATTTGGTTATATAACATGACAATCCTCAACCAATTTTTAAAGATCCATTCTGGTGGGGAAACAATATATTGTTAGTGGTGAATTAAGCCTGTATTTGCATTCAATTTTGTTTGGTTTTTGGAGAATTTTCATTATGATGTGGTAAACAAATTTTGTATAGCTGTCTTTCTCATTACATTGTCTTATTAATTCGGCATGTGTCAATATTTTCCTATACTCTATTTTATGTTTTCCTGCTATTCATATTCTAAGTCTATCATGTTTTTTAAAAAATTAGAATATTGACTTTTTTAATACTTGTTATTTTATTCTCTAAGAGTTCTTAAATATGTTATAATTGTACACCCAACACACGTGGACGTTAGGATATGCATCTTTAACAAATTATAGTTGAACAACCAGTAGTTTGCTTTGGGTATTTTGCTTTGGGATTATCAGTTAACAAAACATTTTCTTCTCCCCTCAGCATGGGTTAGCAATATAATGTCATGAACTACAATTATGGAAAGACCTTGCTGATGACCCAACAATGAACACATACCCCATGACGACGTGCTAATGACCAATCAACAAACACACTACGAAAAAATTGAGGTTTACACTGTGGTTGCTTTGTATAGTTGAAAATAATTTCTTTAAAAGTTAGCCTTAGTTGAGAAATCTGTGTCCAAAACATAACAAATTAGGATTAGAAAGTTAGTATGATTAATCAGTAGCAACTACTGCGTAATGCTTAAAAGAGTCTTTAATACACTCTTATTTGTGACTAATGCATAAAAATAGCATTGAATACACTAATATTTGGACGTGTTAGTTTCACATAGAATTGTGAATGTATGTCACATTTGCGTATGAATACATGCCAACTATATGCAATTGACAAATAGGCAAAACATCCCTTTCTGTTATTACTATTTCGTTCATTTCAAAAAGCAATGCTAATCGAACCCCTACACTTTGTAGAAGCTCTCTTCCATTATAGAGTATTTTTGCAAGTTGCCGTCCATTCCCAGGTTCGTCTTTGCTTGATGTGTATTGTTCCAATAATGGACAAGAGTTGGATGATGATCAAAGATAGGCTAAAAAGTAAAGAGTATCAACAAGGTGTTCAGTCAATTATTGATTTCGCTACGCAAAATTTAGGGCCGCAAGATGAAATCCGTTGTCCTTGTGTTGATTGCTTGAACGGCACAAAATTCAGTCCACGCATTGTACGGTTGCACTTGATTCGAAGAGGAATCGCATGTTCTTATCGAACTTGGGTCCACCACGGGGAACATGTCCCCATGTTTCGTGCTTATCCTACTATGCGAAACGATGATACTGAAAGCCACCGAGCTGGAATGACAACCAATCACGAAAATGTGGATGAACTACCAACTATGTTAGAAGAGATTTACATGAGTGGTCTCATGGATGATGATATCGACGAAGAACATACTAGTTCGGAGAGGCACAATATGTTGAGTTCATGAAGTTGTTGGATGATGCTCAACGCAAAGTATATCCAAAGTGTGAAAAGTTCTCCATCTTGTCCTTCGTAATTAAGATGCTTCATGTGAAGGTGTACAATAATGGAGCAACAAATCTTTCGATATGGTTATGCAAGTTTTCAAAGACATTCTACCAAAGTGCGATGAAAATGTTCCATGGACCCTTTATGAAGCGAAAAAGTTCTTATGTGAATTGGGTTTGGGATATGAGGCCATTCATGCATGCAAGAGCAATTGTACTTTATTTTGGAAGGACAACGCCACGTTGGAGAATTGCCCTAAATGTACGGAGTCCAGATACAAGTTGAATGACCAGACGGGTAAGAAAATTCCACACAAAGTACTGAGGTACTTTCCTTTGATACCGAGGTTGAAGAGATTGTACATGTCGAAAAAAATAGCCGCACATATAAGATGGCATAAAGATAAGCGTGTGGATGATGGAGTATTGCGACATCTAGCTGATGGTGAGGCATGGAAGGACTTTGATAGGCTGCATCCTACGTTCTTTGCGGATCCTCGGAATGTAAGGCTTGGGCTTGCCACGGATGGGTTCAATCCATTCGAAAATATGAGTACATCGTACAGCAAGTGGCCCGTAATCTTAATGCCTTACAATCTACCCCCATGGAAGTGTATGAAAGATCCGTTTTTCATGATGTCATTGCTTATTCTCGGACGATCCGCACCTGGAAGAGACATTGATGTTTATTTGCAACCAAGTAGAAGAGTTAACTAATCTGTGGGAGCATGGTGTGCAAACATATGATGCCTCAAACGGCCAAATATTTACAATGCATGCAGCAGTCATGTGGACCATCAACGACTTTCCTGCATATGGTTCCTTGTCTGGTTGGAGTACAAAGGGTTACCTAGCTTGCCCTAATTGTAGCATGGATGCATCATCTCAGAGGTTGCGAAGTAAGATAGGGTATATGGGTGTTCGACGGTACTTACTTGAGAACCATAATTGGCGCAGAAGTAAGCTATTCAACGGTGAAATTGAGAATCGGTCCAAACTGTGGAGTTATAGGGAGAACAAATACTGGACCAAATTAATTTGGGGACGTACAGACCGTATGGAAAGCATCCAACCAACCAAAAAAGACAACGGACTGAAAATCCAACTCCGAACTAGACAAAAAGAAGCATTTTGTTCAACCAACCCTATTGGAAAACATTTAAGCTTCGACATAACCTTGATGTCATGCAGATAGAGAAGAATATATGTGACAATCTACTTGGGACACTATTGAGCATAGATGGCAAGAACAAGGACACGGACAAAGCACGTTTGGATCTGGAGGACATGCGAATACGAAAGGAGTTACACTTGATAAGGCATGCGAATGGCTCTTTTGAGAAGCCTCCGACATTGTACATATTGTCCCCCGCAGAACGAATAGGGTTTTCTGATTTCTTGAAATCGATTAAGTATCCTGATGGCTATGCAGCAAATGTATCCAATTGTGTCACTGCGAATGGTGGTAAGTTAGTTGGCTTGAAGAGTCATGACTGTCATGTCATTCTACAACGACTTCTTCCCATTGCGATGCGAGGATACCTTCCTACCGAGATTGGGACCACATTGTTTGAGTTGCGTACTTTTTTCAAACAGTTGTGCTCAAAGACATTGAGGGTGACTGATTTGGAGAAATTGCAAGAACAAATCGTACTTATACTGTGTAAGCTTGAGAAGATTTTTCCTCCTATTTTTTTGATGTGATGGTCCACTTGGCAATTCACTTGCCTTACGAGGCTAGGCTTGGAGGGCCTGTGCAATATCGATGGATGTATCCTATTGAGAGGTATAACAAGGAGTTCAAACTTTTTTCATGTAATTATAGTTCAATATGACCATACTGACGATTAGGCCGATGTTTACATGTAGGATGCTCGGACTTCTTAAAGGATTTGTGGGCAACAAAGCTCGGCCAGAAGGTTCCATTGCAGAGGGCTACATATCGAAAGAGTGTACGACGTTTTGTTCATTATATTTGCATGGAGTTGAAACGGTGTTTAACCAGGAAGAAATGAACTACGATGGGGGTGACAATGGCTCGGGGTTGGCGATTTTCACTCAAAATGTTCGTCCTTTTGGTCACCTCCCAAGGGCAATTGATGTGTCCGTAGTTGATCGCGAATTGGCTCATTGGTTTGTCCTACACAATAGTTTGGAAGTGGATGAATATCTAGAGTATGATTCCTCATCATATATGCAACATAAATTTTCTACATGATTTTTATTTTTTAAAGTCTTCATTATTCCAATTACCTATGACTTACATGGTCTTAACTAGGGAACACAAGCTCGTGTTGCAACAAAAATATGGAAGTTCATGCAACATTGCAACGCGACAATGCAAAGAATTTCCTAAATGGTTCAAACATCGCGTAAGCTAAAACTCGTCAGTGTGTAGTTTGCAAATAACGTTTAATTATTCTAAGTTTGAATTGACATGACATACTTCCTTGTGTAGATGAACCAATTGCGAAATCAAAAGTCACCCGAAGCAACCGATGAGATGTGGTCATTAGCCAATGGACCTAATGCGTTAGTGAACACATATTCGGGATGCATTTGTAATGGCATCCGATTCCATGCTATCGACCGCGATAACCGTCGTAAAGGTCAAAATAGTGGGTTGGTAGTGAAAGGTGACCACCAAGGCCAATTAATAAAGTTCTACGGCTACCTTTGTAAAGTGTGGGAACTGACATTTTTGTTTGGACATCGGGTTGTTTTGTTCCAATGTGAATGGTATAACACCGGTGGTAGTCGAACTTTGCGTGTCGAACCACATGTCACAATTGTTGACGTAAGAAGTCGATGGTATAAAGATGACTCGTTTGTGTTCCCAAGCCAAGTTCAACAAGTTTTCTATGTTCATGATACGAAGTTTGGGCCGAATTGGCGAGTTGTGGAAAAGTTTCAACATCGATGAATTTGGGATGTGCCAGAGCTGGATGTGCCAGAATTTGATGAAGTGTTGCAAGATAATGAAGCCAGTACTGTTGTACCAACTAAGCTTATTGATGATGATGTTGTTTTGCGTCAGAAGGACATTAAACCTGAAATTATTTCAATGGAAGTTTCTCAGTCCAATAAGCGTGTACAACCCGAGGGTGTTATGGATGATGATTTCATCTATGATGACGATGATGAACTAACAGTCATGGGTGATGACGAAGAAGAAGATGAGATACCAAGTGATTTTGATACAGATACGGACCTAGAGTTTTAACTTAGTTTGTTTCTTTGTTTGGCTTGTTTTGTTGATGTAATGGGGGCAATTAAGAATATGGTGTTATGGATGAAGTTTCTTTGGGACTAAACTTTTGTGTAATGGGACTAAACTTTTAGTTTGATATGCTTTTCAGCCTTTTTACTTGTTTTTCTGTGTTTCTTTAGTACGAACACCACTATTGAAATATTGGTTTGTAATTTTTGGTAGTTGATTTAGGGGAAAATTTTATTCTTATACTGGAATTAAGCCTTGGATCAAGTTTTGGAATTTTATGGAACTTGACTCACTTTAAATAGTAGTGAAACATTACCATGTTGCAATGACTTGCTACCCTTGCATGAATAGTTCCTTATGGGTTGCTCTGTAATGGGACTAGAGCTTGTTTGTTTGCTTTACAACCTAAAAATCGGATTCTTTGTTATGGTGCTGATGTTCTGGTGCTGATTTATTAGTCATCTTCTGGTGCTCATCTTCTGGTTCTAGTAGTCTTCTTCCTATTTTGATGCATTTTGCTGTTGCTCTGATCTGTTAGCACTAAAAATTCTGGGCCAGTTTTGATCTGTTTTCCTGTTCTGATCTGTTTTTTTAGCTCTGTCTTGGTGCTACAATTCTGGACCTGTTCTGTCTTGGTGCTGTTCTGTTTTGGACTTGTGCTACAATTCTGGACCTGTTCTGTTTTGCTATTTTGATCTATCTTGGTGCTGCATCGGTATGTTTTTCATTTGACAGATTTTGACCTTTATTTATTTATTTTTTTTTGCTCTGCCATATGCATGGTATCTGTAGCTAGATGAAATATAATATCTATTGTCCTTTTTTTTTTTGCTCTGCCATAGATGAAAAGTTTGTACATCATTTTCCTAATTTCTGTAGCTAGTAACCTCAAAGATGGGTTAGGTACTATCATATTGAAATTTGTGTTGAAAAATTGGTAGTATTCTATCTATGGTATCCTGATGGTATCTGTTTTTGGGAAAAGTATTGTTGAACCTTCCTGGCTTTTAGAAATATCAGATGATGCCTGCAGATTTTAAGCAAGTGGTTTGAGTAGAGAACCTTCCCAGAACATCCTAAAATCTTGAACAGAACAGGTCACATTATACAAAGTAGTGAAAGCACTCACCATGATTGTCATCCCCTTCAGTAATAGCACAGGTAGTCATCTCACTGAAATGAATTCATAGAATCATTAGTGCAGGCAACATTTAAAAGACACTTCTACTATCTTCTTTGATCAACATCAATCTTATAAAATAGAACAGCTAGTAAAAAGTACGTGATGCCCTAAATGATTAAATTCTGGTCTATAAAACCAACATCTTTGAAATTAACTGGTTAATCAAACTACATCAGGTCTTTTCCAGCATGGATCCACTTACAACCAATAAACTTAGCCGAAAAAGGCCTTGGAGGGCCGAAAAATGAAACCATCCCCCCAACCAGTGTAGGGATGGCACAGGTAGCTTCGTCATCTGAAATAGGACCTGTGGGGTCAGACGGGACGTAATTAGCACGCGTACGTGGGGCGTTGGCGTGAGAAACGCTATAAAGCTACACAAAAAATATATTAAAGCTTATATTGACTTTCGAAGTTAAAAGCTAAGATACTTGACATTTACCACAAGTCTTGACTAGTTTCTGTTGCAATATTTAAATTGTTTCTATTGTTAGCATTTGCTTTGAACCTCTCTTTTCTGCCATATCCTTAAAAAAAACTCACGAAGAGAAGGACTTTTTCATGAAGTTGTGTTGGCATGTATTAAAGCTTACAAAAATATATGTTCTATAAGAATCTCTATATATGTACATTTATGAATAAAATACATATATGTTTACACATTAGACTAACTTGACTTCGAGCTCATGCTTGACTTGGGAAGTTTTTTTGCACTGTAAATGTACACTTTCAATACAATTTAAAGTGTAAAGAAAGTATATTGAAATTCCTATATTCAAACTATAGTTAAATGCAATTTCAATTACAATTGACATCCTTGCAATTTGTGTTTTGTAGATGGCTATAACTTTTTGTTCACAATGGAACTAATGGGTGTAATTTTTGTTGTGTAGATGGCTTTTGGCATTGACATGTGGATCTTCTATTTTTTTGCCCGGAAGATCATTCACAATTTTGCAAATTTCAGAAGCTTTTTGTTGTCCTATACTATTTGTGTGGACTGTGGACCAATCGTACATATAATTTTTGACGGGGTACATAGTATTTTTGGAGCTTCTATTACTTGCTCTGGTCATATAGAATCAATGACGGGGTACATAGATCATTCACATTTGCTGTTGCTCCACATGTATTAATTGCTCTGGTGGTATATACATAGATTACCTTTTGTCGTGGTACATATCACCATGGTAATTTGTACCTTGGCAAATGGTCATTACAATACGTAGTATAGTAAAAATGTTGTGTAAGGAGGACATTATTTTGGGAACGTATTTGGAATGTATAACGTTATTATTTGTAATTGAAATATATATAGTTGGTTTCTATATAAGTTTACATTAGCAGGTGTTCTTTTTTGTTTGATGGTTGTAAGTGAAACATGCATTACAGAATAGGTGATAATATATATAGGTTGTATACCTATTACAGGTTGCGGTGGATATAGGTTCTAGCAAAATTAATTAAAATGAAAAAAACAAAATAAAAATTTAAAATGACATTTTTGGTGACAAAACAATTAGTAGCCAAAAAAGAAATAAATCTTTTGGCGACTAAATATTTAGTAGCTAAAACAAATTGAAATATTTTTGGCGACTAACAAGTTTAGTAGCTAAAAATCAAATCATTTTTGGTGACAACAATTTTAGTTGCCAAAACAAATGAAAACACTTTTGGCGACAACAATTTTAGTCGCCAAAACATAATAAAAAAGCATTGCCGACTAACCTGTTTAGTAGCCGAACAACAATGACCCTTTCCGCGACTACAGATTTAGTAGCTAAAATAAGAGTATTGGCGACAAAAGATTTCGTCACCGAAGAGATTTTCAATTTTTGCGGCAAAATATTTAGTAGCCAAAGAAGTGAGTTAAATAATTAATAGACCCTTTGGGCGACTAATCTTTTAGTCACTAATGTGGGTCATCGGCGACTAATACTCTTTTCGTCGCTAATAGCTGTTACTTTTTCCTACTAACGTGTTAGTCGGCAATTTTGTAGTACTTTTGGTGACTAAATGTTCTTTAGTCGCTAATACCTTCGGCGACGATGTATCCCCGACAAAGCTAACAACCAAAGTATATGGTCGGCAAAGCCTTTTGGCGACTAAAATTAGTACTTTTGGCGACTAATATTTTAGTTGCCAAAAATGTATTTTCTTGTAGTGTAATCAACACTGCAATAAATAAATAAATAAAATAAAACACCACAAATGCCAAATAACTTGCATATGATATATCGTAATCAATTAGTAGTACTAATAGAAACTATCAGCAACGGTGTAACTTTTTTTTTACAAAATCTAGCAAATACTGGTATTGCTAGTGAAATAAAATTTACTAGAAAAAGAGTTGATCGAATAACTCAATAAATTATATATTATCAACAGCAATTAAACTTAACATCTCACGTCATATATATATAAACAAATATTTAAACTAAAAATAAAATAAAATATAAAAATTTAATATACATTTTGGTTTTTAAACAAAAATATATAGAACTAAGAACTTTTTGTAAATAGTAAAGAAAATTAGGGGTCATACTGCAAATTGTGGTAAGGCCGGTTGGACGAACTTCCCTCAACATTACGGGAGAGGATTTAGATCCATTATTATCTTAAAAAAAAATCAGTAAGTGTGTCATGTGCACACATAAATTGAATTTGTTTAAATCTCAACATAGATTTCTAAGGGAACACGTTAAGTATAACATGATAAAAATTCAATGTGGTTAATTGTTACATTTTGACATTTAGGAAGCAAAATGCAAAATGTTTTTTAATTTAAGAGAATTTATTGTAATTTATTCGAATTTTTTTTTTCTTCTATAAATCTCATCTTGAGGGGTGGTGATCCTTTTAATCTCAATGATTTTCTTATAAACCAATTAGTTCTATTGATTTTAGAAAGGTAAATTTAATATATTATCTAGAAATTGAATTTACTGTTATACTCTTATTTCTATTATGTAAGATACACAATATATAATAATCAAATTTGGGATGAATTTTTATATGAGAATCTTTTTTATTTGAAAAACATTTCAAAATGAGTACAAATTCAAACATTTCGAAAGAATGTAGGATTCTTCAAATATTTCAAAAGGAATACAAAAACTCCATAGTTAGTTTTAGATAAATGTATAATTTCAAATTGTAACATTCAAATGTAACACTCCAAAAAAACTCCTTAATGTACTTTTCTCAAATGTAACACTCTAAAAACATTCTTAAAAAAATCCTTAGTGTAACACTCTAATGTAACATACAAAGAAAACTCCTTAGCGTACTTTTCTCAATCATAACACTTTAATATAATACTTTAAAAACACTTCTTAGTGTAACATTCCAAAGTAACACAAAAAAAAAACTCCTTAATGTATTTTTACCAAATGTAACACTCCAATAGTTCTCCAAAAAAAGGATGTGGGATTGTTCAAACCATTCCAAAACAAGTACAAAAATTCCTTAGTAAGCTTTAAGCAAATGTATAATTTTAAACTGTGAGTGTCACATTTAGAAAGAAAAAAAAATACAATAAAGAAGTTTTTAGTATTTTTTGTGTGTGTTACATTAGAGTGTTACATTTGGGATTACATTAATTGGAGTGTTACATTTGAGAAAAACATACAAAGAAGTTTTTTTGTGTGTTACATTAAAGTGTTACATTTAGGAAAATTACATTAAGAAGTTTTTTTGGAACGTTGCGTTGTTACGTTTGGGAAAAGTATACTAAAGAATTTTTTTAGTGTATTACATTGGAGTGTTATGTTATTGGAGTGTTACATTGGTGTGTTACGTTTTTATTCGTAATGTCAGATTTGTTCTAAAATGAGGGAAAATTCAAAACCTCTATAGTGTGCATTGTCCAAATGCGTAATTTCACAATTGGAGAAATCCACTTTTATCCCTAAAAAATTAAACCCAAGCATGTAAGTGATTACCCTTTTGTGTAATTTCTACTTTAATTGGACGCTTGGGTTTATATGAAAAAATGAAGGACAAAACAGTTCACAATATCACATTTTGGGATTTATTAGTACTCCACCTTTATTCTATTTATTACTTGACATTTGTCAAGTTATTTTTTAAAAAGCCATCAAAAAGTATTGGATTTCACTGTTTTAACCAATGAATATGAAGTTGGGACACCATATGTATTTGTCTAGGACCACCAATGTTGAAAAAATTACATGTCAAAGGAATTTTCAAAAATTAATTACAAAATTTATTACTAATTCAAAAATATTTTCCTAACATTCACTGAACGAAAAATTATCCAAATGACAAATGACTAACATAAGCAGCATTGAATATATATATATTTTATTAACAAAAGAAAGCTTTATTGATAATGGAAAAGATATAAAGTTCTCAGGACACATTAATAAAGCAAGGAAGAGCACAAATCATTATAGCTAGGCTAGGCAATCTTAACTATGTTGGCACTGACTAAGAAGCACAATCATCTGCTAACTACAACCCAAGTTGATAAGAAACCAACCAACACAAAAA